CCCTGTTTTCATATCAAAGATACTTCATGCCACTCTTAAACACTGTTCCCTCAGGTACTCAGCAAACAAAATCAATATGATGGAAAAATTAAGTGAGGCAGGATTGGATTACAAATTCCTTGCTCAAATGAGAATGGATAAAGTAGACTGAGACTTATTTCATTATTTCTCTACTATATCTCATTATTTCCTTGATAAAATGTTATGCGCTTGAATATATTTGCCAGAGAAGAGAACTTTTTAAAGGTAATTTTTAAACAGCTCCCTCAAAGAGTCACTGGCTAGGTTCACTCAACTTAAAAGAATATATGGTAAAGCAATTTTCATAAGAAACTGATTTGGCAAGGCATATATAGATGATATCCCCTCTACTTTTTATGAACTTTTCTAAATACCATTTTCATGAATTACAACAGAAAAGTTAAAATGACATTTCACCATATTTTGGGATTTGGAGCAGAAAGAAATGGTATCAGTCCCCATCATAGATCCATTACATGTATACAGAGGCTCACTAGCTGTACTACTAAATATACACCATCTCACGTATTTTGCAGAGTCACAGCAAATTTTATGTCTTAAAACATCTATTCAAGAAGTTTAGTTATAACATTGTAGTTTTTAAAAATGAAACAATGCTAGACTTTCTAGTTTCAAATTAAACTCAAAACACATTCCCAGCGTTGAAGTAGGTATTATAAGAAAATTCTATTCAAGTTATAATCCAATTTCTCTGATAAATGTATCCAATAATCAGACTGTGGTTAACTATGACCTATTTATTTAATAAGTTATTTCAATGCAAAGAGACTATTAAAAAAAAGTGGTACATCGACATCTGCATTTTCCACTAGATTATTTTTTCATCCAAAGGCAGAAACTAAATAAACAGCTACTCCCCTAGAAATGCCAGAATAATTTCAGAAGGTAGTCTTGGGATACAAAACAGTATCAGACAACATAAAAATGTTCAAATGTGCTGGTTAAATAAATCCTTTGGAAAGAGCTTAAGAGCCTTCAGAAAATTATTTATATCAAGATAGTAAGTTCTAAGCAACAAGCAAAAAAGCAATTACTCATACAGTAACTTTTAAGTTACCTAGCAATTTAAATGGAAAACATTTGTGTCCTAAACTATAAATAGGCCAAACAATATGAGGGAAATAACTTATCAGACATGCTATATTTGATGATAAGAATTAGAACCATCTAAAATAATCTCTGTGGAAGGTTCTGTTTCATTGGAGTGTTTGTATCACCAGAAAGACAATGCAAGCCACATTTGTGGAGGACAAAACTCATTCCCAATCCTTGTGGTTCCCTGCCACAAACACCAGAGCCATACTATACATTATAGATAATTGTGGAATTAAAGTGCACTTACACAAAATTGAAGGAATAAAAATTCTGAGAGAAAAGATATGTTTAAGTTGCAAGATTCTGGAGGTGGGGGTGCGCCTGGGGGGAGAGGGACGGTGTAACACACATGCATTTATTAGGAGTTGCATGTAATTGGGGGTATGTTTGGGTGGTGGTTCCCCTCCAAGCACTTCAATATTTAAAAGCTCAATCAGAGATCATCTTGTGTGCAGGAGTTGTGAGGGAATGAAGACCATATAAGGGGCTTTCGAGGCTGTCTTCTCAAGTACCCTGTACTACACTTACTTGTTTTCTGAATAGCTTTCGGATGTACCCTGTATTTCAGATGGACTATGGTCAAAGAGCTATCTTTATGATGTCAGAGTAGGACATCAAACACATATGACTCAGTATTATAGGTAAAAACTCCAAAGCAACAATATAAGCCAACAGTGTATTACTAACACAAATGCAAATTAAAGCATTTCGAAAATTTACACTTAGAAAATACTCCAAAATGACAGTTCTCTTTAGATTTCAGTCTTTTAGGATTTTGAGTTTGGTAAAACATCTATTCCAAAGGTATTAAGACCTAAGGAACGGAAAGAAAAAAGGCGACACACAAGAAAATATAAAAACTGACTAAGGAAAAGATGGAAGACAACAGGCCAGCTGCAGGAAAAGCTGATTTCCCCACCTGGTCTTAGGAAGATCCTAAAATCCTGTTTACTTTGCTTTTAAATAGACTCAAAAATGAAAACTCCAGTGGAACTTGGTTTTATCCAAGCACAACTCCCCAGATTAAAAAAACAAAAACAAACCACTGTCCCAAACAAAAAGAGAAAAATAAAAAGGAAAAGTACAAGTACAATTTAAGTACAATACCGTTTTCTGTTGCTATTCATAAATGGGTAGAAGGTTATGAATTGCTAATTTCCATCTCCCCTTGAGAACATACAAACCAGCTTGGCAGTGAATATTACCAGCAAAGCAAGGCTTCTTCTTAGTCTTGAAGCAGCCATTGCCTAAGTGCAGCTCCCTGCAGCCAACAGCATTAATGGACGCTGCACTGCTGTCCTTCCCTGGAGACAGCAGCCAGCACTACTCAAGCTTCTCACGTAGCAACCAGAGCTCCAGAGCCAGCAGCTGCTGCTGCCTTGTATACTCACCCTGTGATCCAACCCAAAGGAACCTCCTCTCTACCCACCCCCACTCCTCACAGTCTTTCTTTTTTTTGGCCAGTGCTCCATGCTAGAAAGACTGGAATTCTGCTTTTAGAAAGAAACAACCCTAGGGTCATCCTTCAAGTTTGCAATTAAGGCCCTTTATTCGGGGAAAAACCCAACAATGAAAAAAGAAAACCTTCATGAACTCCCAAATATCTACTTAGATGAATCCAGCAATTCAGGCACTAAGATTACGCTTTAGTCTTCAGAAGGACAATTCCCAGGCACTCTAAAACAGAATTTAAATGTGTAGCTAGAGACGGAGCCTTGTGTCGTATCCTACCAAAAAGGACATACTTCATTTTTCTACATTTAGTGACGAGTAAACCTTAAACACTCTAATCCTATAATGAGCCAGAATTTTTGGCTCTGAAGCAAAACTAATGATCCTCCTGATAAAATTGAAGAGAAAAATCCAACGAAAAATGTTCTGCGTCTGCCAAGAGGCCTAAAACCTTTGATTCAGAGTATTCTCTGCTTCAGTCCTAGCTCATATTCCATACATCTAAAATTACCACCTCTAAATTTCCACTCAATGTGACCTAAAAACATTAGCGATATAAAATTAACTACCAAAAAATATTTTTCCCCCAAATAACAACTACAGAAACCACTTCTGGAAAAGGCCCCTCCCCCCTCCCCCTGGGAAACTCAGCTGGCTTCTGCCCATTCAAAAGTATAGCTCGGTACCAACAAAGAAAGGTAAGTATGACCTTGGTCACGAATATGCACTGAAAACAACCTGTCTAGTCAAACGACGAAGGAAATCGCCCGAGAAGCAACTGGAGAGATGAACTTAAGTTGAGACAAAGCCCCAAGGAACCCAGGGCTCTGGGCGAGACACGAATTACTGGGGAACACATTGCACAAGTAACATGAGAAAGCAGAAAATGCAGGTCACACATGCACCCCTGGCCCAGACGGGCAGGGCTGGCTGCAGCACCGCGACCGAGGGGAAGGGAGCCCGCTTACACGCCGGCGGAACGAGACCAGCACAGGAGCGCGACAGCATCAACTGTTGGCACACGGGGGCTTTCCCCACCGGTCAACTTTCCCTCCTGCGAGCCGCCTCCCTAAACCGCGGCCGTTCCCCGGCCCCAGGGACTGCACACCCTCGGCTTCCACGCGGAGGGGCAGAGGACTCAAAAAAGGTCGATTCCTCGGCCTCTTAGAGGCCGTCTCAAACGACTGCGCTCCACGCCCAGGGCAGGGGAACGACACCATCTGGCTCCTCTCCAGCCTCGAACCCTAGAAATGCGATGGGGCCGGATCAGAGCGCCTGGGGACGCCGCCGCCGGGAGCCCAAGAATGTGAGGTGGGGGTGGCGACCGCTCTGTCTCCGGGGTGGGAAAGGAAGCGGCCATCGGAGACGGGATCGCAGGCGGAGAGGGCGGGCGTCCGGGAGGAGCTTTAGAAGGGGAGCTCGGGCCCCCCCCAGCCATCCGCGTTGCCACCAGGCCGCGAGGCCCCGGGGCGGGGACGGGGGGGTCTGCCTGTGTGTCCTGCGAGGAAGGCAGCGGGGCTGAACCTCAAGTGAAAGATAAACGTGGAGTGGGCAGTTCCCAGTTAGAGTGAAGAGGCGAGGGGGGAGGGGAGGGGTCCTGACTCAGGAAAGACGTGAAAAGGAGAGTGGGGTCCACGGGTGGGGAGGCTCTCGCTCGCTCTCTTGAGACAGGGAGGGGTGCGTCGGTGTGTGGGGGGCGGCGAGGGGGAGGAGAGGCAGCACCCTGCTGCCCGGAGCGCGCCTAGGGAGGGACAGGCCCACGTCCCGGGGTGAGCGAGCGGAGACCGAGGGAGGTGACCCTTCCCTCCCCCGAGGCAGGGTCGGGAGCTTAGGTCTCTCTCTTCGTAACAGACCCTTACCTTGTCCCAGGCGCAGCCGGGGCCTGGGCCCGGGCTGCGGCGCACAGCACTCCCGGGAGGCAGCAGGTCTCGAGTTAGGCCCAACGCGGCGCCACGGCGTTTCCTGGCCGGGAATGGCCCGTGCCCGGGAGGTTGGGGGTGGGGGCAAAAAGGCGG